GGGGCGGGGCATGAGAGTGTCAGACAGTTTACCCCACTTCCCCATGTTGGATGGCCGGTCCCATTATTCAGTTCTACGATCTGTTCTTCTTTCCTGACTACATTGTTAGTATTGCGAAGTTAACTGTCTGTGGCTAAAATTAAATGAAGGGGACTAGAATTGTTGGTAGCAATTGCTGCCAGGGCGAGAGGGGGTCTGCTTTAATAAAATGTGGCACACCGGGGTGGCAAGACAGCTCAGTGGGTAAGGACACTTGCTGTCAAGCCCGATAACCTGAGTTTGATGCCCAGGACACACAGGGTAGGAGGAGAGAACCAACCCCAGGAGTGGTCCTCTGACCTTCACATGCATGCAGTGGTCCCCACCCCCACCCCCCCAAAAAAACCCACAGCGTCATCTTACCTTTCTCTGATTGCAATTGGAATTCCTCCCAGATAATATGTGCCGAAATCAAATATATCCCCTTCAATTTTTATATTATGGTCATGCATATACACCCACATGAGTTTTCTTGAGTTTCCGATTGTAATCGAAATCTAAAATGAATGGGAATGAAAGAGCAAGCAATGAGACACAAACCTGTTTGTGGTGGTTCACAGTAACTGTGGTTTTCTTTTCCTTGCCATTTATTTACATGCATGATAGAAGACTGCCCAGAGTGAGTGTGTGTGTGTGTGTGTGTGTGTGTGTGTGCATGTTCATGTTTCTTCATGTTCATCCATGTGTGTGCAGAGGTCAGAAAACAACTATAGGTGCTGTTCCTCGGGCACTGTTCATCTTTGATTTCAGACAGGGGCTTCACTCACATAGTCTATCCTGCTAGCCCACAAACACCAGGGACCTGTCTGCCTTTACATCCCCAGTGCTGGGATGACCAGCCCACCACACTCAGCTTTTTCTACTTAGTTTCTGAGAAGCTCAGCTCGGCTCCTCATACAGTCTGAGTTATCTCCCCAAGCCCCCAGAACAGTGGTTCTCAACCTATGGGTTGTGACCCCTTTAGGACCATCATAGCATTGAGAAGGTTAAAAACCATTGTCCTAAAACATGTTAGTAGAAGTAGTCTCACTTTAATAGAAATGTTCTCAGTTGAAATTTATCAAGGTTTACATAATTTACATATGCTATATATATTATACTTCATGCCTAAATGTTCAAATTTTTAAAGGACACACCCCTCAGTTAATAAGTTCACCTTGTAATAGGTTTGTGTGTCATTTGCCTATTTTTGTTTGGGGGGGGGCATTTCTTTCATTTTAAAGGTTCACTGACTTCTAAAATTTCAAATCAACAGACTCCAAGGACGTACGTACCGTGTGATCTCGCCCATTGTTGATGGTGTCTTGGAATCCTTTCTCTTTGGGCAGCTCCGAATTCAGCTTGTATCTCACCATGAGATTGCCGTCTTCTATGTCCAGGGATATGAAGTTATCCTGGAGTGTGGAAACAGGTAGATTACCGGGAGGCCTGGCTGAAGAAGTCCCGGTTCTCCAGCGATCCCCGATGGTGCCGTCAGCTTCAGGTGCTCCCGGGCTAACCGGAGACCAGGGCTGAGACCACAGAGGCAGATGACGGCTGACTACTGCAGCTGTGAGAGACACCCCAGCGCCCAGCACCCGGGACAAACTCCTACATGCCAGCCAGAGTCCTGACCTTGTTCTACCACAACCAGGACCAGGGGGCCACACATGGAGTCATCGCTCACCTTCCCCCTTTCTCGTCCAGTCGGCCCATTCATATCTTGGGATTTGCCCCTGAACTGTCACGGCACACCCCGGGCTCAGCCATATCTTCACTCCTGTGGTCCTCCCCTGCTCCCCCAGATCACCTTCCACGTGCAGCCAGGTAGTCTTCTGCCATCGACAGTGAGCATACTAACTTTCTTGGTTCTCAGGGCACAGCACAGACTCCCTGGCAGAGGCTTCGAGGTACTGCCGATCTCTTCACTTAGCTTCTCATCATGTCCTGCTGGCAGGCCACCTTCTGTCCCTGCAAGTTCTCACTGCCAAGGCCTTCTTTGTGCCCCGTCCCTGTTGAGTCCCCTTCTACCACACACACTTCCAATGTCACCTTCTACTTGTTTCAAAGGAGGCGTCTTTTGCTCTGATTTCATACTTCATCATTTTCCCTCAACATGATTCAAAATGGTGATGACGCTCACTGACCAGCAGGGCACCTGTGTGCAATGCCAGCATTCCCCTCTAGAGGGCAGGATATGGTTCATCCTGCTCAGCATTGCCTCTTGGCCATGGAGCAAGCATGGGCTTGAACCAGCTATTTCCTCAATGGTCAGAAAAGCTGAGGTTTTCTAACTTAGACTTGAAGCTGTTGCTCTTATCCAGTTCCCTATGATAAGAAGTCTTCTCTGTGAAGTCCTGTGAGTCTCTGAGAGCCTTCATCTAGAAGGCTTTTAGTGTGGATCCCAAAGTCTTGGCATGGAGAGCCATCAACCTGAGCCAGGGAGCAGTGGCTCCCTGAGAGCAGAAACTGTCTCCTTAGCAGAGGCTCTAAGGATTCTCATGCAATGGGGTTATGTAAGGTTCCTCCAGACTAAACACTATTTCTGGTCCTGAGTCTCCAGAAACTTCAAAATGTAAAATAAATTGAGCATCCCTCAAGCCCCAAATTCAAAATGGGAAATTCTTCAAGATCAAAACACTTTGATTATCAGCAGAACAGCACAGTTTTGATGGTTTATGACATACAAACTTTGCTCTATGCACAAAACTGTTTAAAATATATTGCCTAAAATTACTTTCAATCTACATGTATGCAATGTGTGGTTATGAAACGTCCATGGAGTTCATGCTACACTTGGGTCCTGTGATGTTAGCTCATATTAAACTTGACACAGCCCAGATTCACCTAGGAAGAGCATCTCAATGAGGAACTGACTGTCTACACTGGCTTGGCCTTTGGACATGTCTATGGGGGTTGTCTTGATTGCCTTAATTGGTGTGGGAAGAGCCAGGCTTGAAACTGGGCAGCATCATTTCCTGGTATTGGACCCTGGAGTAGAGAAAGCTACCTGAGCACTAAGCATCCTCAAGATTCCTCATTATGTATATGCAAATATTCTAAAATGAAAAACAATCCAAAATGTGGGACACTACTCATCCTATGCATTTTGGGGGAAAAAAGATCCTCCACCAGAACAAAATAGACCTTGTTTTGGAATACAAGTGCCTTAGCCTGGAGACGCTGGGTAACTGCCTTGCTCTCTCCAGCCTTTAGACTGATTGGGACCCTCCCAAACTTCAGAGCTTAGGGGCCAAACCAACCTCAGAAAGAAGAGTGGAGACAAGGCTTTGTTCCTATCTGGCAGCAGATGAGTTTGGGGAAAATCTCAAGCTGAATATCATCCACACATTCTCAGGCTGGTGACCTAGTGCACATTTTTTTTTTTTTTTTTTGGAACACTGCTTATGAGAGCAAGTATACGAGATGTGTTCTGGAGGTGGATTCAACAGAAGACCCATTACTGCAGAACCAGAGCGAACAGCATGTCCACTCTCCTCGGAGCAGTCGAGGGCACCTGCAATCATGAGTGGACGACCTCCTTGCGCACATCTACCCTCAGAAATATAAGAATGACCCTCTGGTATAGCAGGGTCGGCTGGCGGTTCTGTGTCTGGTTTAGTTGTTTTCCTCTTTGAGAAACCTCCACACTGATTTGCAAAGGTGGCTGCACCAGCTGACAGTTCCACTAGCAGCACATACAGGTCCCTGTGGCCACGGCCACGCCAGCACCTGTTGTCGTTTGTAGTGCCGACGATGGCCATTCTGACTGGAAGGAGGTGGGATGTTGTAGTTAGCGTCTGTATTTCCCTGGTGGCTATGGATAATCCTGATCAAAAGCCCGAGCTGGCTTGGGAGGTCAACTTCCTTATCTATTTTTTCTTAGAACTTTATTATCTAATTTTCAACAGCATATATTATTTGCTAAATGGTCACAGTGTCAGACTGCCTCCTAATATTTGTGTTTATGGTCACAGACCTAGGCCGCTCTCAGCCTTGGTCAGAGTGGTTCTTCTCGCCAGTGCTGGGATACATGACTGGTCAAAGTGTTAAGAACAGGAGAAAAGTGCTCAGCCCTAAGCGGAGCATCTTTCTCACCACCACCCCCCCTCACGACTACAGAGGCTCAGGGGTCATCTTTGCCAGACTTCAGCAAGGCGTCCCTTAAGGAGTAGATACTGGCAGCTGATGGCTGCCAGGGGAAGGAAAATATTCTTCTTTTGAACATGTGGCCACGGCTAGATTTTCCAGAACCCACTGGACAGCCCCACACATAGGCGGCACTAGTTGGACTTAGTGAGTTATCAAGAAAAAGCCATGACATTGGGAGGGGACCACGTTGGGGGGATTTGAGGAAGTTGGAAAGGGGAACAGGGGAGCGGATGTGATTATATTATTGTACACAGTATAAAGCCCTCAAGAATAAAGAAAAACTCTAAAAATAAAGCATGAGCCTCTGACCTAGGCTGTTTCAAAGTACAGTAGCTCCCGTGCCGTGGGGAGCCAGGCTGCGGGTTCAGAAAGACACAATCCCCACACCTGCCACGAGCCGGACCAAGGTCACAGCATCAGGAAGCCCAGCCACCTAGACTGGGGGACCCCAGGAGCTCTTCATTTGTTTAAAGCAGAGTGAGACGTGAGCAGGCAGGCCACCATTTTAAAGTCGGAAATGGATGTGAAAATAAGTTAGGAGGAGAATCCTGTCTCCTTTGGGTGGCAACTGCCCAATCCCTGGTCCTTTGTTCTCGTTAAAACTCACCCCAGCAGAAAGAAGACAGGACGGGCCAAGGTCACACTGCCAAGCTATTGTACAATAGCCCAGTCACCCCGAGATTGCTAGACACAGTGGATATTCACGTCGTTTCTGGATGCTTGGTGTAAATTACCTGGTTTTCGGCAAAGAACAGCAAACCTCTGTCCACGGTGGTCTGGATAGTCTGGATGAAGTTTGGGAAGGGGGCGCTGGCTTGCGTGGGAATGCGGGCGTAGCCTGTACCCTCAAAGTAGTTTCTGTCCGACTCTTCCTTCCGCCTGTGAACACCAACCGGAAGTTAGAGGTCAGCCATCAGAGGCCACCTGCGGGTGTGTTTCTAACACGGGGCACTGCTGGCTGAACAATGGAACAAGGAATGACAGGCTGGGAGGCTGTCATTGACAGGCTACACAATTGTGTAGGAAAAGGGGAACACGGTTAGCATGTCGGCCAGCCTTCCTTCCTCGTGGGCTCTTAACCCCTGCGCTGAAGAGGCTGTTCCGTGGGTAAAGTGCTTGCTACGTAAGTACGAAGATCCAAGTTGTGATGCTCAGAACCCATGTTAAAGCTGAGCATGGCAGCACATATCTGTAGCCCTAGTACAGGTGTGTGTGTGGGGGGGGGGTGGAGACAGGTGAATTTTGGGGCTTTCTGGCTAGCCAGTTTAGTCAAAATGTGAGCTCTAGGTTCAGAAAGAGACCTTGACTCAAAAATAAGGTGGGGGAGTTATAGAGAAAAAGACTGATGTCTACCTCTGGTCTCCAACATGTGTACACATGGATGAACATACCTGGACACACATACATATATCATGTAAACGGGGGGGGGGGGGGAGAGAGAGAGAGAGAGAGAGAGAGAGAGAGAGAGAGAGAGAAGGAGAGAAGAACATCTTCTAGAGATGTGTATTCAGGAGAAAGTGGCCAACTAGCTGGAAATATTTAAATATAAGAAATTATTAATTTTCAGTGTCAGCTTCTAAATAACAACAGGAACATCTCAAGTCCTTTAAATTGTAGAGATGGCTAGGAGCTCAAAAGAGCAGGGAGTGGTGTGAACAAGAATGGCTCCTACGGGCTCAAATATTTGAATATTTAGTCATTATGAGGTGGCACGATTGGGGGTGTGGTCTTGTTGGAGGAAGTGTGTTACCGGGGGTGAGTTTTGGGGTTTCAAAGCCAGGCCCAGTGGCCGGCTCTCTCTTTTCCTGCTGCCTGCAGACCTGGATCTAGAACTTTCAGCTCCCTCTCCAGTGTGCCGCCATGTCTGCCTGTGAGCCACCACACTTCCCACCACGACGACAGTGGACTAAACCTCTGAATGTAGGCCAGGCCCAGTGAAACGCTTTCTTTATAAGAGTTGTCGTGGTCATGGTGTCTCTTCCCAGCAACAGAACACTGACTAAGACAGAACAATTTTCAAATAGGTTCAGAAGGCAAAGTACACAGAAAGTCACTTGCTTTGTAGACTACTGTTATTAAAACTTAATTACATAATTATGTGCCTAAGTAATCTAAAATTGAGTATTTTTTGTAGCAGGAGGCACCAAAAATTTAAGGCTCATTTTTTAAAAATTGTATTTATTATCATGTATGTGCATTATGTATGTGAGTGTATGTGCTACCGTGGTACATGCGGAGATCAGGGGACAGCTTCACGACTTTGGTTCCTCCTTCAACCTTTCCGTGGACTCCGGGATCAAACCCAGGTCCATAGGCTTGTGGAGCACATGCTGCTACCCATGGAGCCATCGCACAGTCCCCAAAGGGTCAAGCTTTTAAAAACGGAGAAAACTAATCTGATGCCTGATATAAAATAGGGCAAGACCGGTCCTGCGATGTCAGGGATGTGGCATGGTGGGCGTTGTCTGCAAACAGGAAGTAAGCAGTTGCAATGAACTGCAACACCGACAACCTTGCTTGCCCACCACTGGTGGATGTGGCAGCAGAGCCCAGCCCAGCGCTAGGGACAAGGGCCTCCAGACTCCACTTACCTCCTACAAGGCTCCACTTCAGTTGTGTTGAGATTGAAAGTTGTCTTGAAGTTGTACAGGCTCAGAACGTTTTCATTGAGGTCATCCAGTTCGATACAGCCTTTGTATGGAGGGAACCTCAGTCTGCTAGGCAGCTGTGAGAGAGACAAGACAAACCTTCTGTGAGCTGAACAGGAAGGGACGGTGGCCACGCAGCACCAGGACTTTCAACAGTGAGCATGGCATGGGATGAAGGTTGTGGTTCAGGACTTTTCCATGTAAGGGCTGTCTCTACCCAGGCTAACTCTTAATCTCCCCTGCCTGAGTGTCTTCATCTGTAAAATGGGGGTGATTATTAATATTAATAAATACAGTACATTAAATTAACTCTCTTAAACTTAAAACAGTGGACAAAGGAAATACATCTCAGCTCTTCTCACTAGGTGTACTCTAAGAGCATACGGGTGATTCATTTTGTACAGAACTGGTTAACACAGAGACGTGAAGTCATTATGCCACACCAGAATTGAAGCGCTTCACTCGACGAGTCCACATTGATACTTACTTGAAAATTGGGTGGGTAACCTCCGACGTAAAACACAGCAGTTTCTGGATCCAAATTCAGGAGGGTGTTGCTGCTGTCGCCCTCCAAGTCATAGACCTCAGGAGCTTTGGGTTTATTGGATGTGGCTTCTTTGGTGTAATTAAGTTTTGCAAGCTGATATATTCTGTTGAAAATTGGACAATAAAGTTGTAGGAAAAGTGAAAGAATTCAAAGCCACCATGCTAAGGGCACAGCTGTGTAACATCCACGGAAGAGTGTGAGGCTGGTCAAGTCCACAAGCAGCAAGCGTCCATGAAAGCACCGTACCTCTGGAACTTCACTCGGTCCATAACTGCCTCCTGGTTCTCACTCTCAGTCAGCACCTGGTCTACCTGGACTTCAGCTTCCCGACCCCCCAGATTGTAGACACATGTCAGCTGCCCATCTACAACCGCCATGCCGATGTAGTCCTTGGAGGCCTGGAGACATAAAGGCCACCTCAGACTCTTTTTGTTCAAAATGAGACAGCATTTAAAACGATATTCTAGAACAGGGTCTAAGCATGAGGGTTAAGACAATGAGGGATTCAGAAGACAGACAGATACATCCCAGAGCAAAGGTGTGACAAGAACTCAGAGCCCTTCAAACATTACAAACTCATTTTCCATATCAAGAGGTTCCCAAATGTTTTATTACATAAAATAATGGGCTTTATGCCATAGGCCTTGGGAAGACAGAACACATAAGGTGTATCCTCTGAAGGCCACTACAGCACACTTGAGTAATAACACCGGGGCCGTCCCTCGTGTTTTAGTGGACTGGGTCACTGACTCCCCCACTGTTCAATCTGATCGTTCACCAGCATCTACCACAGAGCAAGCAGACTTAGCTGCTCACTGGAGTTCATCAGCAAGGGAAATAAACCATCTCTTCTCTGGGTGCCATGCAATGTCCTCTTGGCACTCTGTGCCAGCCTCTGCTATGACATTTCCCCATAGTCAGTGAGTGTGGCTTTCTTCTCTATTAGAATGGGAGAACCATAAGGAAGAGACATCTATGGATGGATGGATGGATGGATGGATGGATGATAGATAGATAGATAGATAGATAGATAGATAGATAGATAGATAGATAGATAGATAGATAGATATTCAAACTGACAATTTGGACCTTTTTAAAGTGTTTTTTGGCATTCAGAGCATTTAAGTAAATTTATTTTATCATAAATATCAACTGTGGCACATAATTAAAACAGTGGTCCACCTGCTCAGCACCCATGGGGACACTCAAGTCACCTGCTGACAATGCCTGTGGTGGTGGCAGCTTCATGAGTTTGGGGTGAAGGATGGGCAATAGAGAGGTTAGGCTCTGCTTCCGGTCTCATTTATATTATGGTCCCTACCCCTCCGGCCTGGGGAGACATCTGTGGCTGGGCCTTCCCAGGAAGGGGACAGGACACAGTGTGGTGAAGAGCAGCCACTGCTAGTTTCTAGAGCCGTGATGCTGCTTCCTGGGAAGAAAGAACTAATCCTACAGTTGTAAGCATGCGTGTGCTCACATGTACACACGTGTGCCTATATCTTAAGCCCACTGAGTAAGGCTTCTCATCAGTGACTTCCATCTGTGATGAACTAGAGGTCTCTCTTGGCACCACCACAGCACTCAGGAGGTGACAGCAGGGTCACAAACTCAGAAGAGAGGGTGGGGTAGTCAGTGACAGTTATGTCATGAGTCTCCTGGTGGCCTCCAAAACCACCCTGTTAGTAAAACGAGAAAAGTCCGACCAGCACTCACATCCTTATTCCCGAGGTACATCACGAACATATCCTCGGTGCCCCCGTTCTCCCGAAGGTCAGGTCTTTGGAGAAACAGAGACAGAGACGTGTATCCCTTTAAGTCTTCCAGGTCATTTGGCAGCCGGACCTCGACGCCGGATTTCCCGTTGAACCTCATGGGGACTGCAACCTTGAGGAAGGGTAAGATGGAAGAACGCGGTGTCAAACAGCTATGAAAAATAGGACGTGCTCAGCGAGGGAGCTCCACAGCCACCCTTCTCAGGGACATATCAGCTGGTCCCAGCTCCTGCGATAAACATCAGGGAGGGGTAACGTCTCTTGGACCCAGGTTAACTTTTGTGTTTTACATACACACACACACATATTCATACATACACACATATATACACACATATGTTGGAGACAAGGTCTCACTCTGTAGACCAGGCTGGCCTCAAACTCACAGAGATCTGCCTGCCTCCCCCTCCTGAGTGCTGGGATTAAAGGCTGTGCCGCCATACCCAGCTTGGACCCAGGTTATAAATTCATGAAGCTGTCTGCTGAGCCATCTATTGTCAATGTGAATTGGCTGAGGGCCATTAAGAAGTGAGCTTGGTCTTTCGTGGCGACGATGGTGATGACGATGGTGATGATGACGATGGTGACAATGTCGATGATGATGATGATGGTAACAGTAACAGTAATTCCTACCCTACAATTAGTGCTCACGGAATTAATGCTCACGGAGTTAATGCTCATGGAACCACTTACAATAGTGCTTGCATATGGTTAAAATACATTAAAATATTTTAAATAGTTTTTTTAGATAGGATCTATGTGATCCAGGCTGGCCTCAGGCGCACTCTACATCTCAGGATGGCTTTGAATTTGTGACCCTCCTGCCACCTCTTAAGTGCTGCGGTCACAGGCATGGCCCACAATACCCAGCTCTTTCAAGTCCTTTTAAGAAGGGAATGGATTGCCAATGAGTATGTTACGCACTGTGCCTACATTTATCACAGACATTCCGACTGGAAATAGGCACGCACTGGGGTGAGGAGACGGCTCAGTCAGTCATGTCGTGTAAGATGAGACCTTGAAGCCGGGCGTTGGTGGCGCACGCCTTTAATCCCAGCACTCGGGAGGCAGAGCCAGGCGGATCTCTGTGAGTTCGAGGCCAGCCTGGGCTACCAAGTGAGCTCCAGGAAAGGCGCAAAGCTACACAGAGAAACCCTGTCTCGAAAAAACCAAAAAAAAAAAAGATGAGACCTTGAGTCTAGACCCCTAGTACCAACACAGGAACACAGGAGCAGTGATGTGTGTTTGTAACCCAGCACAGCAGAGGAGCCGTGGGTTTGCCGGTCAGGTGCTCTAAATGAGCCAGCAAGCTCCAGCTTCAGTGAGAGACCGACCGTCTCACAACATAAGGTAGAGAGCAACCGAGGAAGACCTCCGGCCTCTGTACCGTGGGCACACACGGGCATTAAGACTATATGTGTGTCTTAGATACTGTGTGATGGAGGCCCTGCCCGGCTCTCCCCCTCCAGCTGGTCATGAACCAATACGTCTGTGATATCAAAATTACTAGAAAAGTGTAATGAGGAAGCTGTAGGAAATGGAAGTCCACCAAGCACATGCAGTTCAAAGCACTGAAACTTCCCAGGCATTACTGCTTAATATCATACTTAGATCCTACGAACCGTCAGCAAGAGTCACCTAATTAGCACTGTCTGTGGACCACCACAGGGCAGGTCCAGTCCAAACCACAGAAAACAAACATCCTCCTGCAGTCAAAGAACAACCATCTTGGAATGATACTCCACATGACACTACCACATGCTCTCTCTGTCATGCATTAGTGTTTCCTGGCATCTTGATGTGTGATGGTGAGGCCAGGGTCCTCTCACCCGCTCTGTGAGCTCACATCAAGACTCTCTTCCACACACCATCTGCCCTCCAGGAGACCCAACAGCACCGCTGGGTCTCCTCCTGGGAAGCCGTTCTGTCCCCTGGTGAACCCACGCTTGTGTTTTAAATGAAGAAGATACTTTGTGTGGACCGTAAAAGATGGAGGTTGCGGCCCTGCGTTTGTATCCTCACCTTGAGAGAGGAAACATCCCTGACAGCCCTGTGCCTGCCGCCTCCTCTCATTCACAGCAGCCACCACCCTGCAGCTGGAGCCTTATGCAAATGCTGAGGCAAGGGTTTGCTATTTTTACTGCCCATCTACGACTACAGCTGTGTCTGCTTACCTGTCAGCTACAACTGCTGTCTTTATCACACTTAAATTGTTTCTTGTGAATGCTATCTGACCACACTTTTATAACTTGCTTTCTTTACTGGAAACTGTATTTGTAGGTTGATCTGGGTGATATGCATGAGTCCAGCTCATTAGTATTTAGCACTGTAAGCAGTTAGCTTTTTTCTTAAAAATAAAAACATGATTATATAAAGTGTATTGTAACAAGCATCCGTTGTATAGGGTGTGTATATGTGCATGTATGTGTATGGATATGTGTTTGTATGTGCATGTGTGAGTGTGCATGTGTGTGTATATATGTGTATGTGTGCACGTGAGTGTGTGTGTGCATGCGTATGGATGTGTGTGTACATGTATATGTATGTGTGAGTGTTTGTATGTGCATGTGTGAGTGTGCATGTGTGTATATGGATATGTGTATGTGTGTGCACATGTATATGGTGTGTGTGCATGTATATGTGTGTATGTATGTATGAGTGTGCACGTGTGCATGTGTGAGTGTGCGTGTGTGTATGGATGTGTGTGAGTGTGCATGTGTGTGTACCAGGTGTGTACTTGCATGTAAGCAGAGGCCAGAAGAGGAGGTCAGATGTCCTGCTCTATAGAGCTTGTCTTATTCCTTGAGCAAGGGTCTTTCTCTGAGCCTGGGGCTAGGCTGGCAGCTGTCAAGTCCCAGTGAAACCCCCCCACCCCCAACCCCCACCCCGTCTTATCCCCGACAGAGCTGGGGTCACAGACACAACACATCTGTGTCCTCCAACTCAACAAAGGTGGGTTCCAACACTTTCAAACTGTGAAAGACTAGGTCCTGACCACAGAACTTTCACTAAATCTTGCAATTACCATCCACAAAGTGAGGCCTGAGAGAACCTCCTTTTGGCCTATGTGAACTCAAAGCCTGGGAACAGCCTCAGGTGCAGATAAAGCCACAAATTTAGGTGACTAAGGCCATGCACACTGGGAAAGGTGACAAAAGGCAGTTAAACTTCATTTAACTAGAATTGGGAGAAGACAGACCACCAGTTCCTGTACAAACAAAAGCCTCTCCTGTCCTGCGAACGAGCTGCGGATCTTGCAGCAGCTCTGCCAGCCTGGGAACACCCACCTTATTGGCAGCATCCCGGGCCTGCTGAATGAGTTCTCGGATTCGGTCCACATTGTCAGAGATGTTCCCCAGGGGCAGCAATTGCTGGTTGATACTTTCAATCTTGATGAAAAGATCAGGCAACTTCTTGGTTAATTTCTTTACTGTTGGCAAAATGAGAAAATGGAAATATTACACAGTACATTGAGAAAAGGTTAAATGCAGACGTTCTTGATGGGAATGTTTGTTCTGGCAATCTGGGAACAAGATGGATCATAATCATGCAAGACTCTCCTAAATTCATTATAGATTTCTGTAATGATGTAGATATCAAATTATTTTCCTTGGTTAATATGGAAAAATATTTCTTTTTTATCTTTTAGTAGCAATCATAAGTTAATATATCATGATTAAGAACTCCCACAGTATCAAAAAAAAAGAAGGAAAAGAAAAGAAATGAAGTAAAATAAAAATCTATCGGCCCCGCTGGGGCGGGGAGGTGGCTTAGCCGCAGAGTGACTGCCGTGCACACAGGAGGAGTTCAGACCCCAGAGCCCTGGAAGAAGCTGGCGCAGCAGTGTGAGTGTGTGCCCAGCACGGAGAGGTGGGGAGACTGGTGAGACCGCCGGCCAGCTACTCTGCGTCATCTCCAGGTAGCAGCTCCAGCTTCAGTGAGAGACCCTGTCTCAGAAACTAAAGCGGAGGCTCGGGAGATGCCCAGTGGGGACATCAGCTGCTGTTCAAGAATGAGGACCTGAGTTTGAATCCCCAGAACCCACAACTGAATGTGGTGCGTGAGTCCACCATACCAGTGCTCCTAGAAGGGGCGGGGGCAGAGACAAGAGACTCGCCAGCTCCTCACAGGCCAGCTAGTGTGGCGCACACAGAGTGAACCACAAGCAACCCTGCCTCAAAACAAACAGGAAGGCAAGGACCAGCACTCAAAACCGTCCTCTGGCTGGGCATGGTGACGCAGGCCTTTAATCCCAGCACTCAGAAAGCAGAGGCAGGAGGATGTCTGAGTTTGAGGCCAGCCTGGTCTACAGAGCGAGTTCTAGGGCAATCAGGGCTACAGAGAGAAACCCTATATCAAAACCACCAAAACAAAGAAAGAAAGAAACAAATAAATAAAAAAGCTGTCCCCCAACCTCCACACACATGCTCTGGCATATGCATGCATATATATGTACACACACACACACACACACACACACACACACACACACACACGCACGCACGCACGCACACGCACACGCATACGCACACGCACACACACACTTTCTTAAGAGACAGGAAGAACATAGGGCACGGTGGTATACATCTTCAATCCTATCACTCAGGAATCAGAGACAGGTAGATATTTAAGTTAAGGGGCAGCCCGATATGTATATCAAGTTCCAGGGCAGCTGGGGATATATGGATATACACTGGGACCTTGTCTCAGGGAGAGAGAGAGAAAGGAGGAGAGAGGCAGGAAAATGACTGAAGAATATACTTAACATGAACTTCTGGAGACTATTGACCTGCATACATTCATGAACACACAAACACATACATCACGTACACATCACACACACAAAAGGGGGAAAGGAGACACACTCCCCGTCTCTCTAACAGACCACTTGCTGTTTGATCACACGATTCTAACTTGAGGTCAGACTTCACCAAAAAGGAACTGAAATGGATGGAGGCCTTAGCAATGGAGAACACAGCTAAGACACCCTGCCCGGAGGATGCCTCATACCTGAGTTATTGGCATCGGTCAGAGCCTTGTTGAAGTCCTCACTCCGTGTGCTCCCGTAGCTGTCCTTAATTCTTCCCAAATCTGTCTGGATGGGGTTGAGCCCGTCCAGAAGCTCGCTTGTTATACCATTGGCCTTCCTGACCATGTTCTTCGCACCGCTGATCATACTGTCGACATCACCTGGTGCACACACATAGGGAGGCATAAGGACATGAAGCATTCTTCCCAAGAAACTACAGCCAGGGGTCCAGGGTGACATTACCTCTCTGTAACCCATGAAGACCATCACGGACGGCAGTGAGGTTGGCATCTAGCAGGCCCTTCTGAACTGACACGGTGTTCAGGGTTTGCTGCAGGCTGTGGAGAGCTGGGCCGACTTCTAAAGGAAGGAAGGAGGAGAGAAAACACCAAGAGGCAATTACTTCGTGGATTTGGATGTTCCGTGGGCGTTCGTGGCCTCTGAAGTGGCGGTGTCTTCAGACCATTGAGTACGTGTGTACCTTGGTCACCACCCCACAGATGCTCCTGCAGTGCCCAGCCCCACAGCTCTGGGGGCTCTGGGTACAGAGGCTGGAAGAGCAGTTACCAGAGCCTTGTGGTGACCAGCTGAAAGGACACACCCAGAGGAGAGCTGCAGAATAGATCAGGGGACAGCTGGACTTCTACTCTGACCTGAGCAGAGGAAGCTTGCCGAAGGGGTGTCCTAACATACAGTGTGCGGCTGACACTGGCTGGGACTTAATGCTACTGAACACTTGTTCAATGAATGAATGCTGGAGTGAACAAATGAATGATGCAGAAAAGATGCCTTGCAGCCAAGACAAGACTGTTCTTGAGAGAGCCTCACGCAAAGGACACAAAGTGGATGTCTGTTTCTGCCTCTGCAGAACAATGAAAGGACCCGTCCTTAGGGTTCTCTGCAGAGATGCTCCAAGTGACACATCAAAAATAAACTGATGAACAAGATGGTCCAAATCCACATCCCTGGCTGGAATGCAGCCATCTTTGGGATGTAGGAAGTGACTGGCCAGTGTATTAACACCATGCTGATAACACATGGCTCTTTATGACTCCAGGACTGTTTTAGTTAGCAACATGGTCAGTATTCCACCATACTTAAAACACCTACCTTTGCCACAGCCACGCCACCCTAGCACTGAAGAGGTGCAGAGAGGAGGATTGATAGAGGGCATGCTTAGCATGTTCAAGGCCCCGAGTTCAATTCACAGCCATGAAAAACAAATAGACGAGCAAACAACCACAAACGTACCAATCCAACTCTAAACTTGTGTAATGAAGACAGACCTAATTCCCTACCATCTTAATGTTGATTAATGATTGCACATCAGAACATACTTTGTCAGGGTTTTACTTTTTGTGCATTTGATTTTCAAAAATATTTAGTAAGCAATTTACAGAGTCTTCATCTACCCCTCAGAATGGACAGGGTAGCCGAGCGAGGACGGAGAGTCCAGATGCCCGCCTGGCCATGGCTTCCCGGGAGAGACCATAACATTTCAAGGGCAGTATTTTCAAAGCTTGGGGACTGCATAGTTTCGGATGGCTTCTATCCCTGTGTCCCAAAGCCTCTACCCTTGAGCTACATCCCATGTTAAGACAATTTAATTATTTTTTAAGTACATAAGATGAAAAATTACCAAAGATGCTTAAAATTTTCTCATGGCCCATGTTAGCCTTATTTTTGGACACTTTCAGTTGCTAAGATTTTAGGGCTTTTGGTATCCTGAAGCAGTTGCTGTAATAACCTGGAATGAACGGCCTTCATACGTGGCTTCCCACTGCCAGGGGCACCAGTGGATTAACTAAGAGTGCCTCCGAAGTCAGGCCAAGGAAGGCTAGCATTTGCAAGAGTTCTTCATCTGTACGAGACCTGAGTCAAGTCCATGCAGGATGGATAGGGGCTGTGTTAGGACTCTTGGTAAATGCACGGCACCGATAACATAAACCGTGGGTGCAGACATGTCCTTTATGTTGTCACTGGGATCAGAACACGCCTTTGCATCTGCCCGCCCCCAGGCGGACTTGACTGTCCCTGCCGCCCACCCTTCTGATACCTTGCTGTAGCTTCTTCTGCGTTATCTTGGCCTCGTTTAACAGCTCATCGCTGTCGGAACTCAGGGTCTTAGCTCTTCTTGGAAGATCTTCCTTTATCAGTGTCTGAAAGCAAAATGTTTATCAGCCTTGAGCAGACACGATACCTTAGCAAACGCAGAGTAAGACTTCACCTTAGGCCCAATCCCTTATCTTTAATCTTTAAAGAACAGGATTTGAACGAATGAATTGCACACTGTGGCCTAACGATGCGGTTAGGACTCTAGGCAGACGCGCGCCTGTGGCTTGGGGAGCTGGCCTGATCTCCGGTGACAGATGGCTTAAGCCCCTACGAAACCCCTGCAATCACTTACTTGCTTTGAGGCTTTCAAGCCTTGGAACCTGAAAGTCTTTGATCTTTCAAGGCCCAGCTTCCCAACTCTAATATTGAGTGCTCTATCCTTTATTTCTTGTATACGGAGATATTATACAGAGCACCAAAGATCCTGTAGGCCTCTACAGACATGCCTAGATTTAAGACTAAATCATTAAAAAAATGGCAACCCAGTTAATTCCCAAAATCTTTCTTTTGGTAAACATCAATTATTAACTAAGGTTTAAAAACACCTAGTGAAAAGCAGGATATACTATTTGTTTAGGTTCAAAATTGACAGTGGTATGCTTTCTATCTGATTGTATAAATACACTTTAACCACACTCTTGATATCAAATAGTAAATGCAGAAATGGTCCATACCAAGAACAAACTCAAGTCTATACCTATAACAAGCTCTGACTTTAAATAAATAATTTTTAACACTGTTCCGTGCATAGGAGAGTAAGAAAACAAGCTGCCTCCAGAGCCAGTCCAGAAAGCCGGTGCAGCTCCAGGTACCCACTTGGAGGGCAGACTCCGAGGCGCTGGTGGCCTTGCTGGCTGCATCCTCCGCTGCTCTGATGGCATTGAGGATGTTCTCGTAGGCGGTGGCAGCATCCACAGCACAGCGTACCAGCTCATCCCCGCTGGTATTTCTCTTTATCCTGGAAGATGACACAGGGTGGGGGTAGGTCATCCAGATCCTTTCTCTGCCTGGGGATGCCATCCTCCCAATGAGTGTGCAACATGTGCTCTGCACTTGCTATTCTGTTCCCAGGGCACAACTGAGAGACAGATCTCACTGCAAGTCTGGTTTTGACTTAGTCTATGGGTTCTGGATGGGACTTTGGCCTTGGTCCAGCCCTCCACCCTGTTCCCGGGTCCTAGCCAGCCCAGTGAGGACCTTGCCTGATACTCAATCAACCCATGATGTCTGGACCTCTGCAGCCAGGCACTTACTCTTCCAGCTGCTTCGCCAGCTCCTGTAAAGACTGCGCATGCTTCTCAGCCTCCACTACCAGGGATGTTTTGCTGGCAGATCTGGAGAGCTCTTGCACTTTGCTGCTTAGCTCCTGTCTTGCTCCATTCAAAGCCACAGCTAAGCTTTCATATTCCTAATTTTTCCAAATAAATAATATAAAATCAAGCAGTGAACATGTACGCCAGTTTCTCAAACTCCTTCATAAATGATGTTCTAATGAGAATTTATATTTTCTAAGTCATTTTTATCATATCAACTATGATATGAGGTGAGGTTCAGCTAAATGGAAGGGCTACTAATGATATAGAAATAGATACTGGGAAAGATTACTTCAAAATGCCCACAAGGCTACTAAGAAGTCTGTCAGGCTTTTATCAAGTCTTTGATGTCTTCCATCAAGAAAGGCATGTTTGATATTTTTAAAATAGCATCGCAATGCTTGTTACCACAAAAGTGACTTGCTCATTGTGGACAAATGCGGTAATGTAGACAGACTTAAGGGAAGCCCAGCGTTCATCCCCCTCTCCCAGCAGAGAGCTCTGTCTAAAGGGGTTTTCTCAAAAGTCAATAGGTTCGCCTATTGCGTTGTCTCCTGAGCATTCGACTAGTTTGGTTGTTTCTAGAGAACCCGAGTCTTCTACCTTCTGGCTTTTGTCCATCTGCTGCAGGAGATTGTTGGTCAGGAGCAGGGAAGAGTCTGCCGTGGCCAGGTACTTGGTGAAGTCATTCTTCAGGGAATTCATTTCTTTCATTTGTCTCTGGAGAGAATAAAAGAGCCCATGTGCACACATTCCACGACACATTAGCAGAAAGCACAGACATGTTTACGGAACAACAGGAAATAAGTCAGAGTCCATTGTTTTCTTGAAGCTGACAGTAGCTAGCCTGCTGTAAGTGATGGGGCCTGAATTCCCACGTTGCTGCGTTACCATGGTATCCTCTGCCAGCACGGCTGAAGAAGTCATACCCTGGGCAACCCCACCGGTGAGGTGGGGGCATGTTATTAAGATCTGCTTTGGAGAACAGAACGTAAGATTTCAACTAAATAAATGCACCAGGGCCAATCGCCTCCACACACTAGACCCAGTGAGCATGCAGCGGTCATCTGAATGAAAGATGGTGCAGCCAGGAGTCTGCCAGGCTGGATGGCGTAGACTGGGACCCACACTGCTGGAGCGTGCCCTCTTCCCTGGCATAACCAGAGATGCACACAGAGGTCCTGCTGTCCAGGACAGCACTGAGCTGAGCGCATCACCCACTAAGGTGATACTGGTTTGTGTTTCTCAGCTTCCTCCTCTTTGTGTGCCATTCATGTTATTCAATTCCGGTCTGTCATTGACAACCCTTCATGTATTTTTTTGTTGTTTTGATATAGGATAGTCACCATCAAAAATATCAACTATAGGGCTGGGGTGTTGGCTTGATTTTAAAACAGTTGCCTAACGTGAGACCCTGGGTCTGATTCCAAATGTGCCAAAAGAGAAAGCCTCTACCTGCCTGCCATCTATCTATCTATCTATCTATCTATCTATCTATCTATCTATCTATCTATCTATCTATCTATCTATCTATCTATCGTATGTGTTTGTGTGTGTATGAGTGTCTGTATGTTATATGTCTATGTGTCTCTGTGTGTCTCTTGTGTGTGTGTGTGGTCTGTCTCTCTTGTGTGTATGTGTGCATGTGCTGAAACCTTAATCTCGAAATTCTGCCCTTATAATGGCATGTGCCCTATCCTTCTGCCTCTTTCCTATAAACAGGTAGATAATTGTTTCAAACAATTGATGACTTTCTCATTCACTCAGCAACCTTGTCCCTCTGATGGGCAGGCTGTGGCAGTTAGTGAGGCTCTTGCCAGAGGTTCCAGAGTCCTCTGAAATCGAGGAAGTGAGGTCACTTCTGCATTTAATGCCTCACTCCTGGCTGATCAGGGTCTGAGGCAGAAAAACCAGACAGGTGCCTGGTCGTGCCTCCCGTTCCCTTCAGCCCCACCATTAATGAAAGCATGAGGAAGCTTCTGCCTGCGGCTCACCTGGATGGCTCCTAGAACCCCCTCATTTTCACCGTTGAGGCCAGTGGCCTGCTTTGCCTGGGCAGCTGCCTCCTGGAGAACAGCACGCAGGTCCTGCAGTTTGGCTTCATAATCATTTAACGAATCGCGAATATTCCTTAGCAGTCCATTGTTCTCCACCTGGTGGGTTTCCAGCCAGGTCCTGAGTCGGTTCAGCACTGCAACACAATTTCCGATTTTCACCTGAGAGATGAGTTTACTTAAGCTGGGTGTCAGAACAACAGAAAGAGGGCCACCTTCCTGCTCACTCCACGACGCTTCCACAGCCTTGGAGGGAACAGGACAACAAAGCTCACTTTCATAGACCTATCGTGTGCACTCATGCACTGTCTTTCTGCTGCCATGGTAAGCACCCAGGAACAGTAGCTATTGTTCTCATTACTGATGAGAAGACAGTCTGAAGGATAAATGACCTCAAATGTAGGAGCTGAGCAGAATAGAAGGCCATGATCCTTCCACAAGGATTAGTGTTGATTAGCACAAATGTCACACATCAGCTGCAACCTGCACATGTGCCCTAGATATATCATATTACCAGAGAACAAATATCCATATGAAAGACATATGGTAAATTAATATGGTTATTTTTGACCCAGAAAGGCATTTTCTCTACATTTACATATACCTAACTAGTTACTCAGATATTTGGTTTGGGCAATGTTTTATAATAATAGTGCCAATGTTATTTTGTTAGTAAAAAATTCAGCTGTGATAAAGAATCTTTAAAAATAGTTTAATGGAGCTAAGCGTGGTGTCTCGTGCCAGTAATCTCAACACGTGAAACGCTGGGGTGGTAGGGACTGCACATCAAAGCCATTCCGGGCTATGGAGTGAGGCACTACCTCCAAGGTGAGGGCAAGAATGGCGTCTGTGAGAGAATTAGAAGAGAGGAAATCGTCACCAGAAAGAGGTTTGTACAGATGAAAGGGCCACTCGTGGGTGGCTCACGCCCACGGGGCCAACACTCGGAAGCCTGAAGCTGGAGGACTACCAGGAGTTTTGGCCAGCCTGGGCTAAAGAGTGAGACTTCACCTCAAAGACAAAAAAGTGGGGGAGGACAAGGCACAAATATTTTAATTTTAGGGTCACTTCTGAGGTCATTTACATTGTGGTAGGATGTCATGCCTCATGAAAACTTGAAGAAAAGACTAGGGGCAAAAGGGGCAGCCCATTCCCACTGCGGCCTCTAGCAAGGTTTGCGGAAATGAGGCCTTCCTCCCACAGCCCAGAGCTCTAGAGTGCCCTTAGAATACGGCATTTCGAGTTGGTTAGAGTGGACACAGAAATCGGGGCTGGTCTTACGGCGCTGGGCTTCTGTTTTCTCGGCCTCTGCTTCTCTGAGGTGCTTTCTGAAGTCTCGGCCTCGAAGCTCCCGCATCATGCGCTGGGCTTCTGCCAGCTCCCTGGACCAGTCGCCCACCTGCATGTCCGTTCCTTCTCCACCTGGCCTAGCGATCTGCTTCAGGAGAACTGGAAAACATCAAGTAGCTTATTAAACTGGGGGTTCTGGAAGCTTTGTGGAGAGTCCTGTTCATCTTTAAGTATCACAGTGGGATCTTCTTTCATAACGTGGTACTCTCAAAAATAAACTCTTCATTCAGCACACAACAAAAGCTACGCAATAGGTTTTAATTGGGCTGGGTAACTTTTCTTACTGTGCACGTTCTGGATGATGTTTTTAATCTTCGTGTCTAATTCTTTGGCGCTTTGGGTTGTCCGGTCAATGTTGTTATATAATGTTTGTGCTTTTCTGGAATTGACTTGTGCCTACATCAAAGTAAACTCATTAGGAGTGAATAAAGTAAAAGGGAAAACGAAACTGAAAACATCCACAAGGGAGGGAAAGGTTAAGGTAAAGGACTCAATACATCACCTTTTCCTGGACAGTTTCGAATTCACGGTTCAAATGGCCCAGTTCTTTTTCCAGGCCGTCCAGTTTGGACCCGTGGCTTGAGATGGTGGACCGGAGGCCCAGCAGCTGGCTCTGAAAGCAGACACAGAGCTAAACCCTTCGGACCAGACATTGCCCAGCCGTCTAAGTTCTATTCAACAAGCCAACGCTGGCTCCATGGGGCGAGGCGGGGGATGGGGTTCTTTGAAGTAACTTACAAGATGAATCTACTTTCTGACGTAAATTAGGATACGGTTGTGAGGTAAAGCAAATGGGTTGGCCCTCTTTCCACCACTACAATCAATTTAATAAATCATTATAGATAAAAGATAATCAACTGACAAAGAAAAGGCTTCTCCTGGCTCACAGTTTTAGGGGTTTTAGCCCCATGGCCTTGGGTCCCTGGGGAGGTAGCGCTTCACAGTAGAAGCACATTGTGAGCAAGGGGATGAAACTGAGGAAGAGGAAGAGCTGGGGTCCGACAAAGCCCCTGGAGAGCATGTGCCCAATCCTAAAACACCTACCACCGTCTCTTACACTTGGAACACCCCTTCAGAGCTTAGGCATTGGGAAGAGGGGGGCACTAAAGACCCAAACTACAGCAAATCCAACAGACAAGAGATTTTTTTACTTGAATTAATGACTTTGCCTTATAAAAGCAGTACATATAGCTGTTTGCGCTGAAAGAAGCTTTATATTCAAAGAGGCCCGTCTCACTGTAGGGGAATTCTGAGTGGCTATAGTTGGATGTCCTCACGTTCAAATGAGAAGTTGGCATGCCTAAGGAAACTGGATGACGTGTCTGAGGCAGCACAGCTGGTCACTGATTGATTGTGTTGGGTCACAATCCAGTTCCCTATTCGTTTATTGCTGTTATATCATTACTGAATTGCCTTATTACTTTTAAAGGTGACATTGCCACGCATATTTAGAATAGGGATATTTATTTATTTATTTATTTATTTATTCATTTATTCATTTATTTATTTATTTAGGTTTTTTTCGAGACAAGGTTTCTCTGTGTAGCTTTGGTGCCTGTCCTGGAACTTGCTCTGTAGACCAGGCTGGCCATGAACTCACAGAGATCCACCTGGCTCTGCCTCCCAAGTGCTGGGATTAAAGGCGTGCACCACCACCGTCCTGTGGTGATATTGTGTCTCCCAATATATTGTGCACCCTAATAAACTTATCTGGGGTCAGAGAGCAGAGCAGCCACTATATATAGAGGCCAGAAAATGGTGGCACACAGACCTTTAATCCTAGCATTCCGAAGGCAGAGATCCCTCTGGATCTCTGTGAGTTCAAAGCCACACTGGAATCCGCCAGGCATGGTGACACATGCCTTTAATCCCAGGAAGTGATGGTAGGAAGCAGAAAGGTATATAAGGCATGAGGACCAGGAACTAGAGTCTGTTAAGCTCTTAGGCTTTTAGCAGCAGCTCAGCTGAGATGCATTCAGATGGGACGCAGAGGCTTCCAGTCTGAGGAAACAGATCGGCTGAGGAATTGGCAAGGTGAGGTTGGCTGTGGCTTGTACAGTTTCTCCCATCTTTCAGCATTCACCCCAATACCTGACTCTGGGTTTGTTTTTTTTAATAAGATCTTTTAAGATTTGTGCTACACTGCCTGGCTCTAGAATAGGGATTATTTTTAATTTTTGGAGGAGGGATGTAATACCTTGAAAGAGAGAGTTAAATAAAAGGATTCCATTGCCTCCGTCTGTGTATCAGAGACAATGCGGAGAAAACCAGACCCAGGTCTGCAGCTTAGCAGTGAGTCTGACGCTCCAATGAGGGTATTCCAAACCACTGGGTGTAGGTATGTTCTCACGAGCATGGAAAATGTCAGTTCGTTTTCACTGAGCTGTCTCGGAATTTGTGTGGCAGAGCAGTAAGACAGACAGATCACTGTAACTTTACAGTGGGAAAGCCAAGCATTGCTGAGCGGCCACGAGCGAAGGGTGGGAGAAAAGCGTGGGAGCATCGGGCCACGGGTAAAGGTGGGGAGCAAAGCGTGGTCTTTAGACTTTGGGTTTGAATCCCAGCTGTGTGAATATGCTGTTGTTCTTACAGCATCTACCTGTCAGCTAAATGAAAACACTCTTTCTCCAAGAGACCTTGTGGGACGTGAGTGAGACCCAGGACAGCACCTGGCGTACAGCATCCGCGCAGAGACACCAGATAAGCAACTGCCTCACAGAGCCTCCTTTTCTCTCGCCACAGAGAGGGTCCTTTCCTTCTCTATATTAAACCCATAAACCACGCAGTCGAATTCCTTAAGGGGTGAGAAGGAAACTCTTCCAGGATCACTTCCAGACGGAGCCGCTGGCATCAGTTCTCATCCCAAAAGCACTCACTAAACCTCGCCCAAAGCCTTTCACTGTGGCTAGCCTTGGCTTTACCTCATCAACCCTTGTACTTCAGTAACCATATTTTTCCATTTCAGTGATTTTCAGTCAGTCTTCTCATCTCTTACTTAATTTCAAGAGAGATTTTCTCCACATCTCATTTCTCATTTCTTCTAATGGATGCTATTCTTTCAAGAAACTTTCAGACTGCCCAGTTATTTTCATTTCTCTAAACTGCCCTCGTCTCTTCTCTGCTGCATTTCTGGTTAATGTGTCTGTCGAACATTTGCAGACTCAATCAATCATCGGGAGTGTTCTCCTTCCTCCACACTCCCTCTGTCATCTCTAGTGATCTCATAGCTATCACAGCCCGAACACGAAACCTTGTTCCCCGAGTCTAAGGCCAGGCCATACATTAGCAGTTCAGAACACGAATACTATAACGATGTTGAGGATGTTGTTTTCTAGCATGAATCCAGGCTTGAGGATGCCATTTTCCAACACGGATCAGGCTTCTGGGCTTGTCTAGGCCCTGGTCAGAAGACTAGGACTCCCATGGCCCACCTCTTTTCTCCTTTTGTCAACAAAGGGCATTGGACAGTTTCAAGGTTTTGTGTTCAGCCCTCATTAACGGGAAGAGTAACCCTCAGGATTACTTGGGGGAGCTTGGCTCAGGCCTGTGGCCCCATCTCTTCTCATAATGCCCTCCTAACTCCCTCATTTCCAAGGACACTGAGAGCACTGACCCAGGTGGACTATATCCCAGCTTTGGAACAAACCTCAACACATCCAAAGGCATTGAAATCCTACATAGTTTGCTTCTGACCACAAAAGGAACAAATTATAAATCAACACTAGAAAGCCATTAGAAAAAAAAATCTCTGATCTAGATTTACCAATACACTTCTAAATTACTTGTGGGTTATTCATACATCACAGGGAAATAGAAACGTGTTTTGAATTGAATGAGAATGAAAACAATACTGTGAAATAGTATTTAAGCAATACAGCAAAAGTAGTATTTAAGAGAAGCATTTCTTCACAGCAATAAATCCTTATGTTAGTAACAAGAAAGTTTTAAATCAGTAAAACAAGCTTTGATCATAAGAAACTAGAAAATGGATAGCAAATTATCCCACAGAATATAGAAAGAAGAAGCGAAATATATGTGTGAGAGTAGTAATCAGTTAAGTTTGATAGTATGCCCATTTAGCAGAATAATAGTAGCACCCTTGAGGCCTAATAGTACTAGTACCCTTGAAATCCCCAGTCTGGTTCTTGACCAGATTCACTATACCAGCCATACGCTTCCTCCTAGTTGGTCACCCCCTGACGTTTTTGCCACTTTGCACCCATGGACATATCTTGCCATGTTGGTCATTATTGTAGTGTGTAAGGTTCAGGGCTGGCTAGGATGGCTGATGACATTTTTCTCCACAGTAGCCTGCAGAGAACCTCTGAGCACTATGATAGCCACTCAGCAAGAAAGAATCTTCCTGGTCAGTACCAACTTGATTCCTCCATGACCTGAGAAAAATCTGTATCTCTCAATGTAAAGATTAGTCAGCTCTCAGCTCGTCAGAGAGTTTCTTTGTGCAGTGGTTGGTAGTTAACACAGAACCTCAGAACTGGCCATAGTACACAGAGAGTGTCAGCTGAGTGCTCAACACAAATGGGACCTACAACCAACTCTTACTCATGAAGAAATAAATGAGCTAATGAGTCTACTATCTTTTGTACAAATTCCAAATACTGATTATTAAAAGAAGAACCATCTAAGGACCACCTAGGCTCACATAACTTCCCGAGAAAATTCTAGCAACTATTTTAAGAGGAATAATACTAGCTTTGAAGAAGCCCATGTTTGAGTCTTCTGAATGCAGGACATGGAGCTGAATGCTTTATGAGAAAGCAAGCTTAGGAATGTTCAGTGAGCAATGAACTCACACTCACAAGTGTCAGACCTGTGTGTTGGTGAGCACTTCTCACTGGTGAGAACTGACTTGGGTTTTAAGTGGAGTGCCTGTACCCCGATTCCTGTCTAAGGAGCAGACATTTACACACACTCTATATCCAGCTCTCTGCATCCATGGTTCTATGTCCATGGATTCCACCAGGTCCAAAGATTTTGGGGGGAAAAAAAGTATTTGTACTGAACATGTAGTGCTTTTTTCCTGATTATTCCTTAAACAATGTGGTAGGATGGTTATTTGGATGGATTTATACTTACTCATTGTTATAAGTAATCTAGAGATGATGTAATGTTTACAAGCCAGAATGATGGGTCTTAAGAAAGTCCTAGGCCATGTCATATTAGGGATGCGAGCATCTGCAGGTTTGGTTTTCCATAGAGGGTCCCAGAACCGATTCCCCAGTACAGAGCAAGGCCCAGCCACACTCACTCAGCACCAGTCTGGATCCCCACTGAAGGCTTACCCTCAGGTCCTTGGCTTGCGTCTCCACGTGCCGGATCTGTTCTAGAACACCAGCGCTCACACTCAGGCTCTGCAGCTTTGACTTCACTAGGCGGAGTTCCTCACCCATGGTGGCCAAGTCATTCAAGAGTGTCATCACACAGCTGTCACAGTCTGCAGGGGCCACAGGGAAAGCCGGATATGCTGTAGGCTGCAGCCCAGAAAAGCCACAGAGAACAGCAGGGTTCTGTAACCTGTCCCTCAAACACAGATGATCACAGGCAGAAGTCACACCCCTCCATGGCTCATGGAGGGATGTGCACTCTGAAGAAGAAAGAATTGGATGTGCGAGAGCATTTTTACTAGAAATGGTGACTCTTAGCAGCTTGTTGCTTATTTTACCTGTGGTCACCCTTTGTTTATGGGGTATCTGCTAATGACTATTTTTGTTGATTGGTTTTGAGGCTGGGTTTTACTAAGCAGCCCAAGCTACATCAAATTAGTGATCCTCATGCCTCAGTATCCCATGTGATGAGATTACAGACATGTGCCACTACACACAGATGATTAGACCCTATGTTAAGTGGGTCCTCAGAAGGTCCCCAGAAGTTGTATGAGGTGGGCATTCAGTGTCCATTCTATACATAACTGAGACTTGGAGAGGTAAAGTGGCCTGTGGGTGGTAGACAGCTGAGAGGTGATGGGGCAGGATCTGAGCCAACATTGTCCTTCCCTGTCCTCTTATTTTTGTTGTCCCAGACTAGCAAGTGCCCAGTCCAGTCCAGCACTCATGCATCTTAAATGAAACACAGCTCGGGAGAGGCAGGGAGGGATTTTCTTTTCTCACCATCGCATTCTTCTGCAGGGCTGCCGTCTTTGGGTTCTTGGCTTACACAGTCTAAAGTCAGGAGGGAAAAAAAGACATTTTAATTTACTTGCTCTTCATCTGCCTTTTAACTTGGTTTCAGAAAAGCCCATTTTGGAAGGTTTGAGTCGCCCAGTCACAAACGTCACTGTCCCCGGCTCTCCACTTTCACCTGCCATCGCCATGAGCGTGGACTTCTTTGGTGGCCTCCTTCACTATTTCTCTTCTAAGAAGGGCATTTCTCAGAAATGGCATGTCTTTCTTTCCTTTTTCTCTTTTGGTAGAGATTCAGCTGGGGTCTCACACATCAGACCATCACCCAGCCATGGAGCAACATCATCAGTCCTCTCGTTACTCAGGTTATTTTTGTTTTTTAAGACTTGATTTTAGTGTGTGTGTGTGTGTGTGCCTCATCTATACAGATACCTGTGAAGGCCAGAAGAGGGCACTGGGTCCCCTAAAGCTGGAGTTACAGTTGTGAGCTTCCTCATATGCAGGGTGGGAACTGAGCCCAGGTCCTTTGGAAGAGCAGCCATCATTCTTAAACACTAAGACATCTCCAGTCCCCTGTTACTTTTAAAAAACAGGGTCTCACTATGTTGCCTAGGCCAGACTTGAACTTCTGAGGGCCTGCTCCAATCTAACAACTGGTGTTAACCCGTTTGTTCTGTCTTGGTTTGGGGACAGTTACTTGATCTGCCATAACCTGCACATTCCCAGTTTAGTTCTTCAAGTTGCCCACAATCGGGAGAGAGTTCACCTAAGTACATCTCTGCCGCTTTCCTAACACATCCTTTCAGCATTTTCTATGAAAGAAGAGAATATTCCTCTGTTCTGTTCCAAGTTTTTCTGAATGAATCCATACAAACTGTGACAAATTATCTTTCACACAGTGTATACTATCCAAACCTCTGACTTGAACACATCCCAGAACTTGTATAGCTAAGAAAGAAAGAACAGCTGAGTGGAGGTGGTGCACCCCTTTAATCCCAGCACTCATGAGGCAGAGGCAGGTGGATCTCTGTGAGTCTGACTGGATCTCAGGGAGCCTGGTCTATAGAGTGAGTTCTATGACAGCCAGAGCTGTTACACAGAGAAACCTTATCTCGAAAAAACACACACACACAGAGACAGACAGACAGATAGACAGACAGAGACAGAGACAGAGAGAACACCTTAATTTCTTCAGGCTCACACAGAAAGAGCTGACAGAAATAACTGTAGAGGGGGACTAGAGAGAGAGGTGGTAAAGAGCTACTTTGCCAGCGGCCTGAGTTCAAGTCCCAGCTCCCCTCAGGTGGCCTAACTGTAACTCCAGTTCTAGGGGATTCTGTGCCTCTCACTCCCACTGACACTGGAGCTCATGTGTACATACCCTCAGACACACATGTGCACATAACTTTAAATAAAGCTGTTTAAAAAAACTACAGTGTCCCAGGAACATCTCAGTAAAGTCACCAAAGTGGGTCTGAAGTTATTTAAGCTACAAATCATTGGGGTTTTAAAACTTTAAGAAACTGACGGAATTGTTCCTCAAAGTCACCAATATTACCCAGGCACTCGCAGGACTGTCAGGGGAGGGACAGTTTGTGAGCTAGAGTGCTGTGCTTTGCCATTAGACCGTTGTCTCACAGAAGCTTTAAGGCTGAGGTCAGGGGGCTGGGCATCGAACTTACCTCCAGTCAGGGGGTCGCAAGTGCCTAACTGGCCATTGCTGTTACAGGTGCAGGGTTGGCAGCTACCTCCAAACTTCTGGGGATTCCCAAAATACCCTGGTGCACACCTACACAAAACATGGAAAGGCTAAGAAACACTCAAATAACTATCATTTATCCACCTTATTTTTCCGATTTGAGACACCATAGCTGCGTAATAGGAAAAGTGACCCAGGCTGGCGAGAACGAACATTTCTTAAAGGGCGTGTTTATTTTCTCTGATGAATGAGGCTACTAAGGGTAGGAGTCAGACAGGGACTGCTCCTTGGCCTCCCAGCTGCCCCTGCTACAATGGCAGAGGATACGTGGTTTGATCAACACAGAAGGGTGGGCTGGATTTTCCTGAGTTATGCTCCTGAAGACATCACATAAATATTGTGTAATTCGAAGCCAACATATTCATAGAAATAAATCCAGGAGATGGAAATTTTCACAGGGAGAAGAATTTCCGTATTTCCCAATGTGTGATTTCAAGGCTGTGTGATCTATATTTTCACTAATTACAGCAGTCGGGGATACAAGAATGTGACATTACTGACGGGAATCACAGCTGCTGCCTCTGGACCTGGGCCACTGTTATTCTAGATAACACAGTAAAAGTCAAGTCCAAACCTCAGAGTTTAAAGGTCATGTGCCCTTGACACTTAAATTCAGTTAGTAAAAAAAACATGCTAAATTCTAATATTGGGAAGTCAATTAAAATATTTCTATTTATTAATATTTCCCCATATGAGGAAGTTGAATTTTCAGTAAATTGGTATATGGTATATCAACATAACGGAGATGAAAGACTCGAGGAAACGCGGTAACCCTTTCTCCAAAGTTTAAGTCTTGAATAATAATTATAATAAACCCCCAGCCATTTGCAGCACATGTTCCCAAAGGTGCCCTGGTGATGTCTGCAGGGATGTAGATCCTAGGTTGGAAACAGCTGGCTGGACCTGCCCTTGCCCCTGTGCTATGGTCTTGGGCTGCCATGGTCCTTGAGTTCCAGCTGACCATCAGATGCCCTCAGGGAAATGTCAGTTCCATAAAGACACTGGGGGTTTTGCTCACTGCTCATCTCAAGGATCCCCAGTGCTGCCTGGCACATACCAGGAGCCAAGCAGGTATCTCATGGATGGAGGGATGGAGGGATCAATGAATGACTAATAATGCCCACATTGATCAGTGGATATAAATGATATTAGTAATAATCTATCAGCCTTCACATATAGGCACTCACTAAAATGTACCCACGATTATAAGGTGGGATGCAACAGTCATTTTACAATCAGTATCACTGGTTATTGCTACATTTCAGAAAGCAGACAGGAAGGCAGACACTCACATACTCTTCCTTATTAATAAGGGTGAGGTGCTTATCCAAATCTACAAAGCAGGGGGGTAAAATGCTAGTACTGAGGCCTTACATACTGACCAGCCCCGTGTTCAGAAGATCTATGCCCTAAAATACTTTAGTCTCATTTCTCACCTATATCTAAAGTTTCTGGAGAAAAGATCAAAAGTACAACATACCCTTTATAAGGTCATAAAAAGAATTGGGGCATTTAATTCTTCTTCCCTCTTCTTACAAAGAATTACATTACTAGTTACAGGAAATAACTGGTTCTCTTATTTTCCCTTCACAGCTAAACACAGTGGATTGGAGCAGTGCTTCCTGCTTTCCCAGATGACATTAGCACAGGAATAAGGAGCAGAGGACACACCTGTCTGTGGCTCTGTGGCTGAGGGAGAGAGAAGGGAGCATGGGCGGAGCTAGGGGCCTGTCCGCACCTGTCACAGGCCACTCCTCCTCTAGACTTCTCTCTGGAGTACATTCCCACTTCTCCCCTTGATTTTCTTACTTGTCATTCTGGACCTACCAAACAGTGCTGTGGATGATGCCTAGGTGTGCAATCATGTTTAATAAACAAAAATGCTGTCATCAGCCTGGCACCCATTAGAAGATGCTTTTAATTAAGAAACAATAACTTGTTTTGAGACATCAAGTGTAGCACATGCTGAGAGAAGAACTGTTAATTAAAAATGTCTCTTCAAATCAGTTGCCAAGCAAACAGATGCCTCTTCCAGCCTGTTACTGTCTCTGACTTTGCTGTTTGTGTGGAACCACAAGGAGGCTAAAACTAGGAAGAGCCTCTCCCAGATGTGCACCCCAAACTGTAAAATCAAAAAACCTGGACCAACTTCCCAGCCCTCCTTCTCTGGCCTACACACCCTTCCCATCTCCATATAGCCGATTCTTCCATCCTTTGCTCTCCGAGGCTGGTTGGTTGACCCTTCAGATGCAAGCCAACTCCGCCCAGTTGGTTTTGTGACTAGTGTCCCATGCATCCCCTACAATCAACATTTCACACTGGGTATATTTGGGAGGGGAACCAAATACTTGGTGTATTTTGTGCAACACGGCCCTTGGATTGTTGAGAGGTAGGATGTTAAGTCATTAGAACCTGGGTCAACTGTTGCTGTACTCAGCCTACACAGTATCCAGTGCATGGAAGCTACGTAAGACAATCTGTGAGTAACTAAAGCGTATCTCTAAGACACTGGCCCTCCCACAACCCTTATTAATAGTAGTTATTTTACTAAATACATCTAATATGAACAGTGTCATGATAGGCATCAAGGATTGGGAAATGAACAGGCTTTCCTGAGTGCTCAAAATATACTGTGAGAAGTACTTCATGTGTGTGTGTAAGGCTATGGATTATGTGTGTATGTAGAATTATAATTAAAGTTATTTATATATACAGAAAAGAATATTGGTGAGGATAAAGGCATATAAAGATGTGTGCACTTGGGTGTGGGCATATGCAGCGATCAGTCTTTATGGGAATAAGAGCATGTACAGATATTTTGGGGAGCAGTATTTAAGAATGTAGGGGAAGTAGTGTATAGACTTTGGGAGATGAGAGTTACATAAAGAACACAAAGGGTGTGGGTAAGGATGGATGTGTAGGGGTGTGGGTAAGGATGGATGTGTAGGGGTGTGGATAAGGATGGATGTGTAGGGGTGTGGGTAAGGATGGATGGATGTGTAGGGGTGTGGGTAAGGATGGATGTGTAGGGGTGTGGGTAAGGATGGATGTGTAGGGTACTGACCAAGGCTAGGGCATGCTGGGTGGAGAAGGGATGTGTAGAGATGGGGAAGGGCATGTGGGAATGAGGACGGGGCCCGGGGTGCTCAGTGACATGTGTTGGGAGAATATAAGTCTGTATGTATGTGTGCTGGTGTGGTGTGTGCACCTCATCCTCAGACTTCTAAAGATGAGCAAGAGAGAAGAGAATGTTAATGGTTTGTTGAATGAGAAGTCTTGTATTTTTCCCACAATTGTTTCAGCCCTCAGTAGGGTACCAGCTCCAAACCAACCTGTCCAACACACCCCACCTGCAGATTTCAGAAAAAGGGAGCTATGGGCAAGAGGTACATGGTGCAGGGAGAAACCTACCTCTCACACTGTGCTCCTGTGTATCCGGGTTTGCAGGCACACCTCACGTTTCCTCCGTCCACAGTACAGCCAGTAGCAAAACTTTAAAGGAAGACAGGAAAAAGGCCTCAGTGAAAACAGAACCCCATGGGCTCATTGTTTTCTATCACAAAAGACCAGCTTTCATGAAGCGAAAATTGAAACCCATTGTCAGGAGGATTGTGAGTAAAGAAAGTTGTGTGGGGAGAAAGTTTTGCCCCTGGAGACTCTCCAGACTGCTTGATGAAGGGCTTCAGCTGCCATCGGACAAATGGGGTAATGCAGACATGCATTTTCTTTCTGGCTTGGATAAATGCATTCCTTCCCTGGAGACAGACCCAGTAACCCAGCCTGGCAGAAATGATTACAACACGGTTTCCCCAGGAATAACAAGGAAGGGCTGCAAGTCCAGGCAGGAAAGAGAACACCAAGTCCCGATTCTCCTAAAATCTGGTCTCCTTGTTTATTCCAGTTTCTTCTGCACAGAGCCCACTCCTGGCAGACAGGCCAGGCCTTGGGAGCCCCAGAGAGAAGTACAGAGTTCCCCGTCCCCTTGGGCATTTCTGTGGTACCCTTGCTTTACATTGTTTTCCAATCAAGTCCTAAAATTTCAATTGCTTTTCTTTTAGCTCTAAACTGACATATATTTGGGGAATAAAGAAGCCATGTGGATTTGCAAATCTGTGGAACATTAAGAACTGATGCACATCAGAGGGATGTCTAGTTGGAGAGGTTATGCTTGGGAAGCCTCCCTGGCTGGGCGGCATGGATGTAGAACTTCCCCTCCTTAGGGACCGTGTCAAGTTTCTCAGTGGTGTTTCAGCTGATGGAGGACGAGGTATAAAACAGCTGCAATGATGATAACCCTGAAGGTCTGCGTGCACTCCAGCCCCACCGGAGCTGGGAGCTGGCTTTGCTGACAGCTCGGGGTTTAACCCAAAACAAAGCTCCTGAGTGCACTGAGGGAAATCTTGGTGTTCTCCTCGTCTGCCAGCCTCTGACTGGGCCAGTCTGGGCAGGCCCGGAGTGATAGACTCTGTACAAATAGGGCTGCAGGACCGGCAGGCTGAACGGGACTCAACACAGAGATGGGAAAGCAAGGCCGATGTTTCAGACTCCGGGATTCTCCAGGGAAGCAGCAGCCCTGGGGCACGTGACGCGAGAGAAGGAAGATGTGGTCAGTTCATCTGACCCCGGGCGGAGTCAGTCCGCTTCACACTCTGGTCAGTTCATCTGACCCCGGGCAGAATCAGTTTGCTTTGCACTCTGGTCAGTTCATCTGACCCCGGGCAGAGTCAGTCTGCTTCGCACTCTGCTCTTCTTTCTGAGTCCGCGTCGCATAGGCGCAGTTTCATGATTTTTGAGCCCATCTCTACTCTACTTCCTGTAATGTCACTCTTTCCTGGAGTCCATGGTGGACACGACCTAACGAACAAGAGTTAACAACAGTGTGCCAGGCCCAAAGGACAGGAGAAGAAACAGTGACTGTTCTACCTGCCATCCGTCAGTCCCACCGGGCCTGAATGACAGCAACAATGTATCACTCAAGGGCTCCCCCAAGGCTTCCATCACAACAAGGAGTGAAGCTTGGCTCTATAGTCTTCAAGGTCCTGGAGTCTGAGTCCTGTCTGGACCTTCAGTTGCATCTCCAGACCTCTTGGCACTGAGAGAAAACCTGAAGAATCCCTCTCACTTCATCTGCTTCTGTTTCCTTAAAAAAATTACGCTGAGCTGGGCGGTGGTGGGCACGCCTTTAATCCCAGCACTCGGGAGGCAGAGGCAGGCGGATCTCTGTGAGTTCAAGGCCAGCCCTGTCTACAGAGAAAGTTCCAGAACAGCTAGAGCTGCTACACAGAGAAACCCTGTCTCAGACTCCCCTGCTCACACAAATGACCACTGTGGGGCCCATGCAGCTGAGTGGCGCTATCAGACTCCCGTGAGCTTAGCTGTGGTGACACCCCTGACTCGCAGGTCTTAATGATCATCCAGGTGACTTTCAGGGCTTGAACCACTGACTGTTCTCTTGGGCATGTGTCAGTGTCCCATGGGTGACATCGCTGACGTCCAGGGACAGAAAAGCCCAGCTGTACGATCAGGCCAAAGCGGTCACTTCCTAAATGAGCATCCTGTGACGTTCAGCCATACACAGAGATGACTGGTCAGTGTTGCCTCGTCCCATCCCACCTCGCCTTCCTTACATCAGGAGTGGTCCCAAACCTTGCTCTCGGGGAGGTGGGTCTGAGGCTTGTTCCAGGCCCGTCTCTGTGCTGCCTCAGGAATAAACTTTCTTTCTCATTCACAAAACTCACCATTCTGGTGATGGGAAGATTGCGCATCAATTAAGGAGGGCCCTTGGGCCCTTTCTCTCTTAGTGCACGTCAGCCCCTCCTGCCTGTCCGTGGACCTGTCTCTTTAGCCCCCCTCCCCCTCCCCCCTCAGTTCTGTAGAACCTCAGATTGCCAGCTGTCCCTGTGAGTGTCTACAGTACCCACCGGTGTCAGGACAGGGCCAGAGCCTACAAGGCTTCCCCTTCTGGGTCCCACATGCTGCCTTGGCTTCCTCACTCATCATTCACGCCCCTGCTAACCAGCCATGGCTTCTTGGCCACTCTCTAACATTGTCACTCATTGTCAATCTCACAGCCCATGTCTGTCTGATAGTCTACTTCGTATTTATTTCTGCATGTACTTCCTGAGTCGTGGTGACCTTTTCTTTCCCTGACCCACTCCAGGTAAAGCCCCGGGACATCAGATTCCACCCTCTTTACCATATGTCGGCGTCCCTAGTACAAAGCCAAGCTGAGGCCTGGCCCCATAATGGGTGCCCATGAAAGTCGTTAAATCATTGAGTGAGCAGCAAAAGAAAGAAGAAAAGGAAAAAGACAAAAGGGAACAATTTTAAAAGACTGTTTCTGTTTAACGATTGAGGTTTTTCCTTGCACATGTGTCTGTTCATTAAGAAAAAAATAGACGGCTCAACCATTAAAGGCTAGGCTGACAACCGAAATGACATTATATATATACACCAACCTTAGTGAAGTGTTATTCGCACACCGCACACTTTACCCACAAATAGTGCTCAGGGGCTCAGTGTAGTGAGGAGATGTAGAGCCACCACTGTGGCCGACCGATTTCAGAACACTGTCACCACTGGAGAAACCCGCAGCCCGCCAGCCGTCCCTTCTCCTTAACCCGTGGTCTCCTCGGCCGCTCTCAGCTCTGCCAGACCACACACTGTTACTGCGAGCTCCTACTGTACCTGTTGGTGTGAGGGCAGGGACAGACCCTACAGGATCCATGGATGGCGTTTCCATAGTAACCTTCCTTGCAGAGCTCACAGTGCTCCCCAGCTGTGCTGTGCTGACAGTTCTGGGGACAGATGAACAGGACAGTGAGTTAGCTGCTCATTATCAGTCTACACATCTTCAGTGCTGATGATTAGACCTGGAGCTTCATATGCTCGGTGAGCTTGGCACACCTGGACTACATCTCTAGTCCTCTGCTGCATGATGATATTGGCTCTGATGAATATATATATATATATATATATATATATATATATATATATATATATATATATATATATTCCTATTTAATTGCTCTTGGTACCACACAAAAATACTGCAAGGCTGGAATGATAGCTCAATCTGCATAAATTACTTGTCTTAAATGCACAAGGACCTGAGTTTGCTCCCTAGAAGCCGTGGTTTAAAAGCTGCCTATGGTGGGACATGCTTGTAATCCCAGGACTAGGGGGATGGGTAGATCTCCAGGCCTTACTAACTAACCTACTTGGCGAGCTCTAGGCCAGTGAGAGACTCTGTCTCAAAAATAAACACAAGAAATGGATGGTGCTTTGGAAGGACACTAGTGTTTTCCTCCAGCTACACACACACACACACACACACACACACACACACACACACACACCACCACCACCACCCCCACCAACATCCCCACCCCCACCACAGTTCAAGGGTCCTTTCATTAGCTACAATAGAGAAAGACCATATAGGTTACTATGCCACAGCATCATTTCACAGCTGTGGCATCTTGGGCAATTTCCTTAATTTATCTAAGTTTTATTCTTTCCTATATCAATTTTATTGACATGTGTCTAAGTATAAGTACAGTTTTCCTAAAATGTGCCATTAGAAGAGCGCCACTTTCTGATGCTATTAAGAGCATTTTATTTTATTTTTTCCCCAGCCCCGTCCCAATTAAGAGCATTTTAGAAAGCAAAAGGGAGGCTGGATGTGGTGGTGCAAGTCTTTAACCAGGTACTCAGGAGGCAGAGGCAAGCAGAACTCTGAGAGTTCAAGGCCAGCCTGGTCTACATAGCAAGTTCCAGGCTATCCAGAGCTACAGAATGAGACCCTGTCTCAATCAGTCAAGTAAGCACACAACTAAAAATGTGCTGGGTCCTTGGGAAATGTGGATTCTCTCTCCTCCTTAAAGAAAGGGTCTTATCTGGAAGCTAACCTCATTCGCTTCATAACTCACCTCAGTTACTGAAGAGCAATACATTTTAAATAAGTTTTCATATGTGGAATTTGTGAAAATAATAGAAAGTTACATAATGTTAGAAGAAGTCCTTTATAACTCAATTTCCAGAGAATTAAGAAATTGTGTCTGGCCAGGCAGTGGTGGTGCCCACTTTTAATCCCAGCACTCGGGAGGCAGATCTCTGAGAGTTCAAGGCCAGCCTAGTCTACAGAGTGAGTCCCAGGGAGACAGCCAGGACTACACAGAGAAACCCTGTCTCAAAAAACAAACAAACAAAAAATAAAAGAAGGAAGGAAGGAAGGAAGGAAGGAAGGAAGGAAGGAAGGAAGGAAGGAAGGAAGGAAGGAATTGTGCCTACGCATTTTATATTTGTAAATCCAATTACCTTTATGTCACAGTTAATGTCTAAAGGACGGCACTCCACAACCTCACCACCAAGCTGCCTGATGGTGGGCTGCATGGATTGTGTAAAGCATGTGTTCTTGTGGGATTTTTAATTTGCTATAATCTTTCATAGATTCACCCTCCCTCACAACAAAGCTTCAAATACACACACACACACACACACACACACACACACACACACACACACACACACTGAGGGAAATCCCCTGTGCTACAGACCTCTGGTAACTAAGAGATAACTTGTGTTAATGAAATGACCTGGAACAAGGATGAGCTCTGAGGGTTGCTTACATGTTTTTACCTCTATATGCCACCATGGCGCTTGAACAAGGGAAGATAATGGGTGTGAAGACTTAAATAAATCCTGAAGCTAAGTTAGGAAAAATAAAACACACGAGGATGGGGCTTGTCTCCAATGGAAAAGACGCCTAGTTAAACAAATCCATCCTTTATGAATCTGTTAAGAACTACAAGTTATATAAGGCATGGTTAGGTAGTGTGGTGGTTTGGATGAGGATGCCCCTTAACCTCATATATGTGAACACTTGGTCCCCAGTTGGTGAAACTGTTTGGGAAGGTGTGGGAACCCACAGACATTTCCTAGGGAGATCTGAGCTCACTTTACCCAGCAGGGCTGCATAAGGGGATGGACAGACCACATGCATGGTTATCAGGTGCTTGGAAGGGTCTGCACTTGGATGTGTGCTGTGCTTTGATCTAGCAAGGGGAGGGCTTTTGCCCCACCCCTTGGCATTCCTTTAAAAAGCCCTTTAGAAGAGCCAGAGGGGGCCAGTGGATTTTGATCCAGGTCCTCCCGAAGCTATCCTGTGTTTCTGTCTCCTCTCCGCTGTCTTTTTATCTACTAATTCCTTATGCTTCTCTCCTCCTCATAGGAACCCTGCAAAAGGTGGGGGTGGCCCCCACAGGAAGGATTAGGAGGTGTGGCCTTGGTAGAGGAGGTGTCACTGGGGTGAGCTTACAGGTTTCAGTGGCCTATGCCATGCTCAGTTAGCTCTCTCCGCCTCATGGCTGCTGCCCCCGTATGTGGATGGGAGGGTGGGTGTGGGTGTGTACACATGTGTGGTAGGTGGGTGTGGGTGTGTACACATGTGTGGTAAGGTGGGTGTGGGTGTGTTCACATGTGTGGTAGGTGGGTGTGGGTGTGTACACATGTGTGGTAGGGTGGGTGTGAGTTTGTACACATGTGTGGTAAGGTGGGTGTGTACACACGTGTGGTAGGGTGGGTGGGTGTGTAAGGCAGGTTCTTGAGAGGAAGGGTTGTGTCTGGTGGGTCTGAGCTCAGCAGGGATCTCAGAACCACAGCATTTTATCAGGATTTCCTGAGGAGTGAGTGCTCAGCCTCGAGGAGCCACGGTGGCCTCAGAGACAAGCAAAGACAGAACTACAGAAGGAGCAAATGGAAAAAAACAAAAAAACAAACCCTAGTTTGATTGGAAAATGAAGTATGACTCCCACAAGTTATCCTGCGTGAAGTGTACCGAATCTAGAGAAAATTCCCTTTGTTCTCTGGTGGCTTTTACAAGATAGACTTGACATCCAGCAACGGCTCCGTGGTAAGATAAACATTGCCTCATGATGAAAGCATCACCGAGTCACACACACCGGGAAGCATCAAACAGACTTCGGTTCGGGAAAACAACCCACTGGGGCCTTTTAGTCTTTTTGAACTTATAAGGCCAAATTCTAACAAAAAATTCCATCAGGCGGCCCCCTCGGCACTTTCCTGTTCTGGCCTGCCCCAGCCTGCAGAGGAAGCAGATCGCGAGCCAACAGCCAGGCAGGCTGAGGAAAGGCCAGGACTCCACAGGTGCTGCCTACCACACCACACCAGCAAGGCCATGGCCGCAGAGTGAGCTGCCAAAGGGCCTTGCCTTAACTGGGGGCGGCCCTGGCTGCCGAAGGAGGAGAGCTCTGATGGAACAGAACAGTGAAGTACAGTTAAAAACGGGTATATATGAATAAAAATGTAAAAGACTCTTTGGGGATGAAAATTACCTAAACTACATTTTTCTTTTTGAGATGTGGTCTCACTGTATAGCCTTCTTAACCAGGAACCTGCCATGGAGACCAGGCCAGCCTTGAACTCACAGAGCACTCTCTGCCTCTGTTTCCCAAGTGTTGGAATTAAGTGCTACCATTCCTAGAAACAAGCTAATTTTTGTTGTTGGTTGGTCTTTGGTCTTTTTGGGGTGGGGTGGGGGGTGCCACCCAGCTCCCAAATAAATCACACATGGAGGCTTATTCTTAATTATCAATGCCTGGCCTTAGCTTGGCTTAGTTTCTTGCCAGCTTTCCTTAACTTATTCTAACTACCTTTTGCCTCTGGGCTTTTTGAGTTCTCTTACTTCTGTAACTCTTACTCTTACTCCGCGGCCTGCTGTGTGGCTGTGTGGCTGTGTGACTGGGTGACTGTGTGGCAGTGTGGCTGGGTGACTGGGTGGCTGTGTGGCTGGATGGCCGGGTGGCTGTGTGGCTGGGTGGCTGGGTGGCTGTGTAGCTGTGTGGCTGTGTGGCTGTGTGGCTGTGTGGCTGTGTGGCTG